AGGTTACCTTGCATAACAACTTAGCCACTCCCAGTCTCTATTCAAGCCTAAGTTAATTGTATCCAATTTGCAAATGAATTCCAATTCAACAGTCTCTCGCTGGAGTCTGGTTTTGAAGTTTTTTTGTTGTAATATCGCAACTTTCATGTCTGTAATCGCGTGACCAGAGAGATTGAAGTGTTCTCCGACTGGTTTATGAATGTTATAATTCTTGACATCTGCTTTGTGTCCATTTATTCTTTTACGTAGAGACTGTCCAGTTTGACCAATTTACATGGTAGAGGGGCATTGCTGGCACATGATGGCATATATCACATTGGTGGATGCGCAGGTGAACGAGCCTCTGATAGTGTGGCTGATGTGATTAGGCCCTATGATGGTGTCCCCTGAATAGATATGTGGACATAGTTGGCAACGGGCTTTGTTGCAAGGATAGGTTCCTGGGTTAGTGGTTCTGTTGAGTGGTGTGTGGTTGCTGGTGAGTATTTGCTTCAGGTTGGGGAGCTGTCGGTAGGCAAGGACTGGCCTGTCTCCCAAGATTTGTGAGAGTGTTGGGTCATCCTTCAGGATAAGTTGTAGATCCTTAATAATGCGTTGGAGGGGTTTTAGTTGGGGGCTGAAGGTGACGGCTAGTGGCGTTCTGTTATTTTCTTTGTTAGGCCTGTCCTGTAGTAGGTGACTTCTGGGAACTCTTCTGGCTCTATCAATCTGTTTCTTCACTTCCGCAGGTGGGTATTGTAGTTGTAAGAATGCTTGATAGAGATCTTGTAGGTGTTTGTCTCTGTCTGAGGGGTTGGAGCAAATGCGGTTGTATCGCAGAGCTTGGCTGTAGACGATGGATCGTGTGATGTGGTCAGGATGAAAGCTGGAGGCATGTAGGTAGGAATAGCGGTCAGTAAGTTTCCGGGATAGGGTCGTGTTTATGTGACCATCGTTTATTAGCACTGTAGTGTCCAGGAAGTGGATCTCTTGTGTGGACTGGACCAGGCTGAGGTTGATGGTGGGATGGAAATTGTTGAAATCATGGTGGAATTCCTCAAGGGCTTCTTTTCCATGGGGCCAGATGATGAAGATGTCATCAATATAGCGCAAGTAGAGTAGGGGCGTTAGGGGACGAGAGCTGAGGAAGCATTGTTCTAAGTCAGCCATAAAAATGTTGGCATACTGTGGGGCCATGCGGGTACCCATAGCAGTGCCGCTGATTTGAAGGTATACATTGTCCCCAAATGTAAAATAGTTATGAGTAAGGAAAAAGTCACAAAGTTCAGCCACCAGGTTAGCAGTGACATTATCGGGGATAGTGTTCTTGATGGCTTGTAGTCCATCTTTGTGTGGAATGTTGGTGTAGAGGGCTTCTACATCCATAGTGGCCAGGATGGTTGTTATCAGGAAGATCACCGATGGATTGTAGTTTCCTCAGGAAGTCAGTGGTGTCTCGAAGGTAGCTGGGAGTGCTGGTAGTGTAGGGCTTGAGGAGGGAGTCTACATAGCCAGACGATCCTGCTGTCAGGGTGCCAATGCCTGAGATGATGGGGCACCCAGGATTTCCAGGTTTATGGATTTTGGGTAGTAGATAGAATATCCCAGGTCGGGGTTCCAGAGGTGTGTCTGTGCAAGGCACTGCATTTAGCCGTATGGAGTGGAAATCTATCAACTGCATGAAAAATCTTGTACAGATACAGACAGACATCATCTTCCTTTCCAAATGCAAACAGATGGACATAGTACCAAAAGGACTGAAAATAAAAAATCCATTACAATCTACATACCACACAGACTATGCTGACAGCTTGTGCCACACGCTCTCAAAGAAACTGCAGAACCACCTGATCAACATCCTCTACAGCAAACAGGGAAAGATATGAAAAGAATATGGAAAAGATATGGAAAGAATGAGCTCTCAAAAATGGATACTCTCATAAAAAACCAACCTTCCACACAAACTTCCTCGTGGCTGGACTTTACTAAAACTAGACAAGCCATTTACAACACACACTTTGCTTCTCTACAAAAGAAAAAGGACACTAAACTTTCTAAACTACTACATGCCACAAGGGGCCACAGCAATGGTTCCCTCAACCCACCCAGCAATATTGTTAACCTATCCAACTATACTCTTAGCCCAGCAGAAGCAGCTGTCCTATCTCGGGGCCTCTCCTTCTGCCCCTCCACCCCCACGAACATGATACAGTTCTGTGGTGACCTAGAATCCTATTTTTGATGTCTCCGACTCAAGGAATATTTCCAACACACCTCTGAACAACATACTAATCCACAGAGACCTCCCTACCAACACTACAAAAAGAAGGATTCTACGTGGACCCCTCCTGAAGGTCGAGACAGCAGACTGGACTTCTACATAGAGTGCTTCCGCCGACGTGCACGGGCTGAAATTGTGGAAAAGCAGCATCACTTGCCCCACAACCTCAGCCGTGCAGAACACAATACCATCCACAGCCTCAGAAACAACTCTGACATCATAATCAAAAAGGCTGACAAAGGAGGTGCTGTTGTCATCATGAATAGGTCGGAATATGAACAAGAGGCTGCTCGGCAGCTCTCCAACACCACTTTCTACAAGCCATTACCCTCTGATCCCACTGAGAGTTGCCAAAAGAAACTACAGCATTTGCTCAAGAAACTCCCTGAAAAAGCACAAGATCAAATCCGCACAGACACACCCCTGGAACCCCGACCTGGGATATTCTATCTACTACCCAAGATCCATAAACCTGGAAATCCTGGGTGCCCCATCATCTCAGGCATTGGCACCCTGACAGCAGGGTTGTCTGGCTATGTAGACTCCCTCCTCAGGCCCTACGTTACCAGCACTCCCAGCTACCTTCGAGACACCACTGACTTCCTGAGGAAACTACAATCCATCGGTGATCTTCCTGATAACAACCATCCTGGCCACTATGGATGTAGAAGCCCTCTACACCAACATTCCACACAAAGATGGACTACAAGCCATCAAGAACACTACCCCGATAATGTCACTGCTAACCTGGTGGCTGAACTTTGTGACTTTTTCCTTACTCATAACTATTTTACATTTGGGGACAATGTATACCTTCAAATCAGCGGCACTGCTATGGGTACCCGCATGGCCCCACAGTATGCCAACATTTTTATGGCTGACTTAGAACAATGCTTCCTCAGCTCTCGTCCCCTAATGCCCCTACTCTACTTGCGCTACACTGATGACATCTTCATCATCTGGCCCCATGGAAAAGAAGCCCTTGAGGAATTCCACCATGATTTCAACAATTTCCATCCCACCATCAACCACAGCCTGGTCCAGTCCACACAAGAGATCCACTTTCTGGACACTACAGTGCTAATAAACGATGGTCACATAAACACCACCCTATCCTGGAAACCTACTGACCGCTATTCCTACCTACATGCCTCCAGCTTTCACCCTGACCACACCACACGATCCATTGTCTACAGCCAAGCTCTGTGACACAACTGCATTTGCTCCAACCCCTTAGACAGAGACAAACACCTACAAGATCTCTATCAAGCATTCTTACAACTACAATACCCACCTGCAGAAGTGAAGAAACAGATTGATAGAGCCAGAAGAGTTCCCAGAAGTCACCTACTACAGGACAGGCCTAACAAAGAAAATAACAGAACGCCACTAGCCGTCACCTTCAGCCCCCAACTAAAACCCCTCCAACGCATTATTAAGGATCTACAACTTATCCTGAAGGATGACCCAACACTCTCACAAATCTTGAGAGACAGGCCAGTCCTTGCCTACCGACAGCTCCCCAACCTGAAGCAAATACTCACCAGCAACCACACACCACTCAACAGAACCACTAACCCAGGAACCTATCCTTGCAACAAAGCCCGTTGCCAGCTGTGTCCACATATCTATTCAGGGGACACCATCATAGGGCCTAATCACATCAGCCACACTATCAGAGGCTCGTTCACCTGCACATCCACCAATGTGATATATGCCATCATGTGCCAGCAATGCCCCTCTACCATGTAAATTGGTCAAACTGGACAGTCTCTACGTAAAAGAATAAATGGACACAAAGCAGATGTCAAGAATTATAACATTCATAAACCAGTCGGAGAACACTTCAATCTCTCTGGTCACGCGATTACAGACATGAAAGTTGCGATATTACAACAAAAAAACTTCAAAACCAGACTCCAGGGAAACTGTTGAATTGGAATTCATTTGCAAATTGGATACAATTAACTTAGGTTACCTTGCATAATGACTTAGCCACTCCCAGTCTCTATTCAAGCCTATTTCCCCTTGTTTTTTCCTACCCCCCCCACATGTTCTTGTTAAACCCTGGATTTGTGCTGGAAATGGCCCACCTTGATTATCATACACATTGTAAGGTGAGTGATCACTTTAGATAAGCTATTACCTGCAGGAGAGTGGGGTGGGGGGGAGAGAAAACCTTTTGTAGTGGTAAACACCCATTTTTTCATGCTGTGTGTGTATAAAAAGATCTTCTATACTTTCCACAGTACGCATCCCATGAAGTGAGCTGTAGCTCACAAAAGCTTATACTCAAATAAATTGGTTAGTCTCTAAGGTGCCACAAGTCCTCCTTTTCTCTTCCTGCCAGGACTGGAGCCCGGGCTCTGGGATCTTGCGCTTCAGCATAATCACTGGCAGAAAGGAGGAGGAAGATGCAAAGCCCTTACTGGCTAAATCGGTTGGGTTTGGAAGTGTAACTCCAGTGGTACTACCCCTCCCCTCCCATAAATATAAATAAATCCCCCCCGGTGTGGGCGCGCGCGCAGCTTTTGGAGGGGGTCGAGCCAACAGCTCCGTGCACCAGCGTGGCTGCACATATGGCCAAGCAACGCTGCCCGGTTCCCGCTTCCGCGAGCGGCGCACGGGTGCCTAGGCCAGCCGGGAGGGGCGGGGCCCCGGGACGCTCCACCCTGGGCTGCAGATCGTGCCCCCCCCCCTCCACCCCCGCCCCGGGACTGTCCCTTTAAGAGCGGGGCGGGCTGGAGCTCGCGGCGCTGCAGTCCCGGCCCCTGGCCGCGCGGGGGGTCCCACCCCCGGCCCCTCCAGCCCGGGTAAGAGCCGCGCGGGGCCCCGCTGCCTGCCTGCGGCCACGTGGGGCTAAGAGGGAGCCCGCGGGCTGCTCCCCCTGCGCCCGGGGCGGGGACCGGCCGCTCCGCGCCGCCTCCCAACTTCCACCAAGTGCGCGGGGCGGCGGAAGCGGGGCTCGCGGCGGCCCCGGAGCAGGAGCCCGCTCCGCTGCCCCGGGCGGAGGCGGGGTGAAGTGGGGCGGCGTTAACCCCCGATCCCCGCAGCCTGGCCGGGCCGCTCGGGGTACAAGGGCCCAGTTGTCGGCCGCTTGGCGTGTCCTGAGTCCGCGGAGCAGATGGGGCCCCGTCCCCTCCCGCCCTGCTGTGGCTGAGCGGGTTGAGTTGTCCTTTCCCTCTCCCAGCAGCCCGCGTCCCCCCCAGCGCTGGGTGCTGCTCCCTCAAGAGCCCATCGCTGCAGCTTCTGGGCTTGCCGGGGTGTTCCCCACAGCGCTATGGGGCTAAACTCCCCATGGCTCGGGACCCTGCCTAGGGGAGGCAGCCCAGTGGGTAGCGCACTAGACTGGGGCTCCGGAGAGCCACATTCTATTTCTGGCTCTGCCAGTGGCCTGCCCGATGATCTTGGGCAAGCTGCTTCCTTCCCTGTGCCTCACTTTCCCCTTCTGTAAAATGAGGCTGCGGGTACTGCCCTCCTTTGAAATTTAGGGCTTAACATTAACACCTGGGTAGCTGCTAGCAAAGCAGAATGACTAATTGCATTTTGGTTTCAAATCGCACTGGTATATCAGTGGTTTTCAACCTGTGGTCCATGCAACTCGGTGTGGGGGCTGCAAACTGTCTAAAATTTCGAACATGGTCTGCACTTCCTTTTGTAGGGGTTTGCAAATAAAAAAAAGGTTGAAAACCAGTAGTATAGATGACCACACAAGGTGAAGGGGGCAATGGAGAATTTATCCCACATTGGCCTTTCCCTCTTCTCCCATAATGCAGAAGGCTGTGTGTGCTTCCCCCAGGGCACTCCCCATCCCAGCTAGTGCATAAATGTGATGTGATTTTTTTTTTCATTACATCACTGCATAGTTACATTACAAGTTTTGTTCCTTAGTCCTTGTGCTGATGTGAGCCAACCCGCCTCTGCTTTCTCCTCTCTGCAATTTCATCCTGTTGCTCCTAATTACACAACAGTCAGTATGGCCTATTGGATCAAGTGCTGGCCTAGGAACCAAGGTCTCCTGACTTTGCCCTTGGCCTGCTGGGTGACCTTGGGCAAGTTGCTTTGTCTCTCTATGCCTTTGTTTCCCCGTCTATAAAATGGGAATAATGATACTGACCTCCTTTGTAAGGCACTTCGAGACTTGCTGATGAAAGGTGCTATAGAAGAACTAGGTATTCTTATCCTAAGCAAGCCTTCTCCTTTGATTACACCCTTTAAATTCCTGGAGATGACTCTGTTTTCTGGCTAGATGGAGGAAATGCGCCAAGGTGGCTGTTCCACCTTATTGCTATACCTAGCACATAGCTGATCTACCGCTGCTAGCAGCAAAGATCTCCAATGGCCGGTGATGAGATGCTAGATGGGGAGGGCTCTGAGTTACTACAGAGAATTCTTTCTCAGATGTCTGGCTGGTGGGCCTTGCCCACGTGCTCAGGGCCTAACTGATCACCATATTTTGGGGGCAGGAAGGAATTTTCCCCTGTGTCAGATTGGCAGAGATCCTGCGGGGGCTTCACCTTCCTCTGCAGCATGGGGCACAGTCATTTGCTGGTTTAAATTAGTGTAAATGGTGGATTCTCTGTAACTTAAAGTCTTCTAAATCATGATTTGAGGACTTCAGTAACTCAGCCGGAGTTCAGGGGTCTATTATAGGAGTGGGCGGGTGAGGTTCTGGGGCCTGTGATGTGCAGGAGGTCAGACAAGATGATCATGATGGTCCCTTCTGGCCTCAAAGTCTATACCAACTGCCCATAAAATCTTTAGTGACATACTGTATGTACAATCCCCATGCATCTTGTTATGGTCGGAAGATGCTGTTTACAAGCTTCTTCTAGCTAGGCTGTGCAGGGGCAGTAGGGTTTCACTGTGTGCTCATGTTCCCTTTTAGAGCCTCCTTTCTCGTCTTCACGGCTGCCTTGTGATGCTGCCAGTGCCTGCCTGCCTGGCAAGTCAAAACATGCTCCGGCCCCAGTGGACTAACAGCAGAAGATGGCAGAGCTGCCGGAGGTTGGGGCGGCTTTGGGGGAGGGCAGTTTGGTGACTGCCGCACTTGAGGGCTGCCGCCTTGCAGGCAACAGGCTGAACCTGGATGTGTACCCCGACGGCTGTCACCAGTTCCTCAAGCTGTTTGAGAAACGAAGGGAAGAGGTGGCCCAGGTGGAATTCCTGCGGCTGAACTGCAACGAGGCCCTCATAGACTCCACGCTGGGTAGCCTTCCTGTCCTGAAGTGCCTGAAGTCGCTGGTGCTCAAAGGTAAGACACGGAGAAGCATCCCTGCCCATTTGTCCAGGCTTGGCTCTTTCTCTCTGCTCCTACAGGATGGATGCGCTTTATGGTTTCCATTGTGCACTAGAGCTCCTTGCAGCGGCTTTGGGTCTGTTAGCCTTATGGGGAGCAGCAAGCAGATTGAGCAAAATCCAGCGGAGGGGCTGTTATTACCATCCTTTGTTTCCACAGCTGCTGGGGACCAATTTCCTCACCTGATTCAGTCTGACAGGTGCAGCCTTTTATTTGAATATCACTTGAATGGAGACTGGGTTAGATCTTCAGTTGTGGAGAATCTGAAATAATTTTTGGTGATTATTTCCCCCCCTCATGAGACATAACGATTCCTTTTACTGCATTTCGTTCTGGTGTAGCTTTCTGAACAGACCGTCATCCTGTGCCCTGCAGTACAGGCTGGGAACATGGTTTGAGAATGAACAGCAAAGAAGCCAACTTATCAGGAGCACAAAAAGTATTGGAGTGGATATGCCTAAGGCTTGCAGTCTGTGGCATGATGACATTCAATAAATACCTGTTGACCATTGTATTGCTTCTTTGGCTTCCTAGTTTTTGTATGCTAGGAGGCTGTGAATACGAATGATGTGTTTTTAGTTATCTTGGAAAAATGTTGAACCACCCAGTTTTCTGTGGGGAGCTGTGTGTGCACGTTAGGGAGGAAGGATGGTCCAATGGTTAGGACACTAACCTGGGAGTCAGGAGACTTGGTTCATTTCCCCTGCTCCACCAGAATGTGACCTTAGGCAAATATCTCTGGCCCAGAACCACAAAGGTGTTTGAAATCAAGGGAAGTCAGAAGTCTAAATATCTTTGTGGATCTGGGCCTCAGTTCCCCCATCTGTAGAATGGGCACATTAATACTTCCCTACCTCCATAGAGTTATGCTGTGAAGTGCTCAGATACTCTGAGTATCCTGAAGTGGGAAAAACTTGATTCACTAAGAATTCCATATTTAAGCCCTACTATTTGCTAATCCAGGGTTTCTCAAATATTAATCTTTCTTCTATTGTACAACAAAAAAATCCAGTGGTCTCCTCTAATGTAAGCATTTAAAATTGCACTGCAGGAGGGTGGTGAGTAGGAGGAAGGGAGGATACTGGTACATTTAGGGAAGTGTGAGTTTAGATCATGTGGCTGCCACATTTTTTTTCCCCACTTGGGTCACTTGCCCTGGTAGTCTCAAGCAAGCCAGAAATCCTTTGAATGTGCTTGATTTATTATTTGGAGCCAGACTTGCCCTTAAATACCTGAGCACGCCTCCCATCAAACCTAGACTTGTCAAAGTCAGAGATGGGGAAAGCTATTAGACCATGCAGTCCCCCTCCCTGCCAGTGTGGGTTATTACTGATGTGCTTCTGTCCAGGCTAGTTTTAAAAGTCCCAAGCAGTGAAGCTTCTATCCTTTCCCTTGGGGAAACTGTGCCACAGCCAAATATGCCTCCCTCTCAGGGAAATTTCCCCATCTTCAGCTAAAATTGCCTCTTCCATAAGTGCATCCTGTAATTCCTAGTTCTCCCTTCTCCCACTGTGTACCAGAGAAATCTCTCCTCTCCTCCTCAGCTGTTAACGCACCAAAGTTTTAGGTGTCAGAGGTCCAGGGGTGAGACTGTGCTAAAACAGACCCCTCGTACATACGTCCCGCTCCACAGAACCACACACAATACAGAGCCCTCCACAGTTGATACAGCTGATTTTACGGATGGAGAAACTGAGACACGGGGAGGTGAAGTCATACAGGTGATTCACCCAGTGACGGTGCTGGGACTAGAACCCAGGTCTCCTGAACCACACTTTAGTGCACTAGCCATTAGGCCATGCTATACACCTTACTCTTATAATCTGCGTGCATGCACCAATCCCTCCAGCCTCGTGTTAACATTGTCTGAATTTCCAGTTTGCCATGCTGTTGATTTAAGAGGGAGCTGTGCGTGCCTATCTGAGGCTAGCTTAGCAGAATCCATGTAACATGGACTCCTTTTTCTCTGCTTTTCCTTGCCCCCAGGTGGGCATGCCAAGGATGAATTCGGTGCTTGTCAACAGGGTTCCCTGACAACCTTGCCACAAGATTTTAGGAATCTACTATGTCTCACACATCTGGATCTCAGCTTTAATAGCTTCTCCAGGTTGCCCAGCTGCGTCACTGACCTTGCCAGCCTCCGTGTACTCTTGGTGTGCCACAACAGCCTGGTGGGGCTGCCTGAAGACTTCGGCCGGCTCAGTAAACTGACTTTCTTCTCTGCCATGAAAAACCAGCTCCGGGATCTGCCACGGAGCATCGGGGAGCTGGCAGCGCTGCAGAGACTGGACCTGTCTGAAAACGCCCTGGAATCGCTTCCCGACGAGATCGGGAGTCTGTATAACTGCCTGGAGCTGGATCTCTCAGGGAATCAATTGGTGGGCGTCCCTGGCTCCCTTGGTAAGAGGTGCACCCAGAGAAAGAGAATGAGAATGAAAGAGAAGAGTCCCTAGCTTCTGGCATGGAATGGGTGGGTTTTAGGGGGTCTTTGAACAGGAAGGCATGTAAAACCTAAATGGGATTTAGGTGTCTGTCACTGCCCCCCTTACTTCATCACCCCCAAGCAGGGCTGTGGATTGGGAGGTATCTCTTGCACGACTTGCTAGGAGCAGGATGTTGTCTATATAGGGCCCCATCAATTTAGTCAGTAAGCAAACCGGGCACTTTGAAGATTCAGAAGACTCTGGGCCAGATCCTGAGTTGTTACAAATCAGGATAATGCCATTGCCTTCAAACTGACATAAACCAGCTGAGGATCCAGCCCTTTGGCTGGCTGGGGCACTGGCTCCTGACAGGATCCCAGCATCTCTGCAGTTGCTGATGTGAGGCAATGCACTGAGGGCTAATGAGGATGATGGGTTGTTCTGTTTTAAATGACCTCTGCGTTGAGTCCAGACCAATCCAGAGAGCCGTTCAGTGCTGGACTCTCAGATCTCAAACCTGTATTCTGAATGGGGCTATTTCCACAGCTTTGATTTCTGTATTACTATGCTCAGGTTTCTGCCATGGTCGTTATATTGCCGTAGCATGTTGTAGCCCCAGGCATGGACTGGAATCCCATTGTGCTAGGCACTGTACAAACAGAACAAAAGGACAGTCCCTGTCCCAAAGAACTTACTGCTCTCCCAACCTGCTAATTCTCTGAACCCACAATCTTTGTGCCCCCCTCATGATTTAAATATAGCCATGATTTGTGTGTGTTTAGTGGTCTGGTGCAGGCAGGCTGGGGTGGCGCTCTGGGTGCTTGCTAAGGGGAATTGGGGATGTATGTGTATGGTGGTTAGAATCACTACTCGTGTATTTACTGAGGGGGGGGCAATTTTTCTTCTTGTTCTAACTTGCAGCCAATTTGCGATCTCTGCAGCAGCTGCGTCTTCACAGCAATCTCCTGGTGACTGTCCCTGCATCCCTCGCCAGCCTCCCCAACTTGTCCAGGCTTGACTTGCAGAACAACAGGCTACGCTCCATCCCCCCCGAGATCCAGAGCTCTCCCTTCGTGCACCTGCGGGGCAATCCTTTAGGAGAACCTGAGATCCCCCTGCAATCTGGTAATTACGTCTCATTGGCTTGACTGCGTCTCAGACAGCTGCTCCCAGGTGTCACAAGCTGGTGTGTGAATGTGATTGTTGGAGATGAGGGGGAGAAAATGGGTCATTATTGGTATGGCATCATTACAGGTGTATTTTGCACTGCACGGGCACATGGAAGAGTGAGCCCCTCGCCCAAAGAGTTTACAATCCACATTTGATGTGGGCTTAATTGCACTAGAGGGTGTGTAAGGGAGAGGACGGCTATCCAGAAGTTCCTACAGTTCTAAGGTGTGATTTAAAAAAAAAAAAAACAAAACCTCTGGAGGTGCTTTTGCTCAGCCTGATCATTGGAAAGGTCTTGCTGGCGATGCAGAGGTGGGGCTGTGGGGGAGTCAGTGGGCAAAAGGAAGTCGGCCTCTTGGGAAAGTCCTCAGACTGCAAGCAAAAAGATCCCAAAAAGGCACCTGCTATTTAGATCATAAAGAGGCAGAGGTAGGGAAGAGTCAGCGATGACAGTACAGCCAGGGCAGTAGCTGCCAAGTGCAGGAAAAGAGATGCATCAAAAGTTCACTGACCTCTGTCTGTCCTCCCATGGAACCCGATCCAAAGCCCATGGGGGGGGGTATGGAAAATCTCTCACGGACTTCACTGGAATTTGGATCCAGCCTGTTATGAGCACAGTGTTGCAAGAGGAATGCTCCTTTATCACCTGCACCCCTCAAATCAATGGAATGTCTGCCTCCAGTCTGCCTGCTACCCACCCCTGTTCACGTCTCTTCTTCTGATTCACTGCAGATGAATCCAGCTCAGGAGAGCTAGGAAGAGTGTTCCTTGTACCCAGTGATGACAGGTATTTCACGCAGTGTCTTTATTGTTTTTGTTACTATTTATTATTTTGTATTGCAGTAGCACCTAAATGCCCCAGTCAAGATTAGGGTCTCGTTGTGCTAGGTGCTGTATATACACATTATTAGGGGTAGTCTCTGCCCCAAATTGTTTTCAGTCCCAATAGACAAGTCATAGTTTTGCTCCATTACATGCAGGGAGTTTGTCTTGCCAGTTACAAGACACAGGAAAGCAAAAGTTTAATGGCGTGTGATGTCATTGGAAGACAAGGTGGGTGAGGTAATATCTTTTATTGGACCAGTGTCTGTGAGTGAGAGCGACAAGCTTTCACGCTACACAGAGCTCTTCCTCAGGTCTGGGGAGTGTCACAGCTCCATACAAGATGGAACAGAGAGTTTTTTGGCAAAAGTAGTTAGCGCATATTCTAAGGGACCAGTCAAGTTGAAGTGGCCCATTAACGCCCCTATAGTCATAGGCTAAAAAGGGGGGTTAGTGCATTACAGATTAAGTTGATCCAATAAAAGATATGCCCTCATCCACTTTGTCTCTCTGATATCCTGGGACCCACACAGCTACAGCAACACTGTAAACACCAATGCGAGTCATTGCAAGATGTCATTCATACATTGCTTCGTTTTCAAAAGCTTTACTGTGACCCCCGACGGCTGCAAAGTCATCCTGGCCTGCGGCATCCAGTTTTACTTCCCCCCGGGTGCTGCCACCTCCTCAGTAACAATCCATTTCCAAACGCTCTCGCCTGACCCACGGTGGGTGAAACTGAGGCACCATGACATCCTGCTGAGTGAAGTCCTGGAGCTGTGGCCTCACGGGGTTGAGTTCCAGCAGGTAAGCGCACGTGAGGGGCAGGACGGGGCTGGGCAGAACTCTGTTATAGCCCATCGTGGGTCTATATGTGCAAATATGACTGGCCAGAAAATCCTTGTTTGTGGCCTGAAAGGATCATGTCTTGGGGCTGTGTGCTGACTGCTGGGATCCCTGAACCACACATCCCTGCTTGCAAATAGCCCTGGGGATCAAACTTGAAAGGGATTCTCAGCACCAGGGCAAATCCCCAAAAGGGCAGTGTTTTCTCCCCTGGCAGTACGCTGTCCCCACACCTTCCCCATCCCTTCTGCCACGATGCAGGCTGTTCTCTGAATGAGAACCTCCTCCCTCCCAGCTTGTGAACTCCTCCTAGGGGGAGAGCCAGCCCCTGGGGGTGACCTCCGTCTGTCAGAAACAGGACTCGTGCCCCATTAATGGACGCTTACATGAGTAGCCCGGTGAAGCCAGTCATGGCCAACAGGAGCTCACTGGCCTTTTTGGGAGGCCAGTGCACAACACCCCCACCGAAGCATTGTCTGGAGCATAGCCAAGGAACTGGAGGCAGTGGTTCTAGCTGACTCCAGGGCTGGTGGGCTGCAGGAGAGATCAGTTTTCATAACCACCCCCCACTCTCTGCCTAAAATCTGCCTGTGGTGGATTGCGCTTACCCCTGTGAGCGTCCCCCAGCGTCTGGGCATGGTGTTGCTGCTCTTGTCAGCTCCCAGCACCCCCGGCAGGCTGTCAGCCTACCTCTGTGGGTCTTCTGTGGCTTGGTCGGGTCACCCAGCTCAGACCCCTTCTGGGGTACAGCCAACTTGGATAGAAGCAGCCCCTTGCCCTTCAGGGCCAATCAGAAATCAAATGGTTTCCTACCTTTCTGGGGTTTAATTTGCTCCCCAGAGTTAAATCAGCAGGGTTCTTCCTGAGCTCCGGCCGCCGATTTGGGGCCAGCAATGGGCCCTGGCCCAGCGTGGCTCCTTTGTCTGTAGCCTAGGGAGCATCTCTCCTCATGCCGCCGGCTCCAGCCAGGAACTACCTTGCTAGCAGCAGGCAGCTCCTTCTCTTTTTTGCCCTTGATTGGGTGTTACTGATCCCCAGCCCTTTAGTTGCTGGAGGAGCAGCTCTCCATGGTTCCCACAATGGCTGCTCCCGGGCTGCTTCTCTAGGTAAGCCCAGAGATCATGTGCTCACTGCTCATTTCCTCTCAGAAGGCTGTTTCCAGGGGTGGGGGGGAGCAGAGCAGTGGGGCCTCCAGCGGGGAGAGGGGAGCACGGAGGCTTGCCACGCCCTGTCACATTGGCCTCCCCTGCTTGCCCAGGTAAGAGGATGTCTCTAGAGTCGGGGTGCCGTTCTGTTGGCGTCTCATGGAAACTCCTTGTTGTCCCCTGCCAGGAGGTGCAGATCTGGATGCCTTACACCTCCCCTCAAACGCAGCGTGAGCGAGAGGTGGTAGTTCGGACCTTCAATGGGCAGAGCTGGAGCGACCTGCAAACCAAGGTGGAGCGGAGAGGAAAGCCGAAGGTGAGCAGGTTGGATTAACTCCTGGTCACATGCAGGATGTCTGACTTGCCCTGCAGCAGATAGCAGGGCTTAACTTTGTCCAGTCCCCAGGGCTAGCTTGGACCTGAGCTATGGGTCCAGTTGGTATAAAGGGGTTGCGTCTGCATCCCTCCTCTCCAATACAGACGCGTGGCAGCTAGAGCAGGGGTTCTCGCAACAAATTTTTTTGATGGCCTCAGAGTGTGGCCACCAACTCTCACTGGTAGCTGCACTGAGACTTTTAACCTAAAATACTTAATTAACTTTAGGAAGAACAATTAAATATGCACAGAGTCACATCCAAATCATCGGAAGGCATATCTGTAGGGTTTTTAGGCAGACTCAATAACAAAAATAATGCTGCCTCCCTTTTCGGCCCTCTTCTCCACCTCCACCCACACCCGCCCCCCCCCCCCCCCCCCCCCCCGGCTTAGTGAGTCCTGGGGCTTGCTGTGAGAAGTGATATTTGTATATTAGTAGCTACCTGGGAGGCTGTGAAAAGTGATATTAACAAACATACAAGTATCACTTTTCTCAGATAGCTAGTCAGTCTGCTGTGAAAAGTGATATTTGCATGTTTAGTATCAGAGGGGTAACTGTGTTAGTCTGGATCTGTAAGACGCATCTGACGAAGTGGGTATTCACCCATGAAAGCTCATGCTCCAGTATGTCTGTTAGTCTATAAGGTGCCACAGGGCTCTTTGCTGTATTTGCATGTTTGTTAATATCACTTTTCTCAGCAAGCCCCAGGACCCATTATGTCCTGGAAGGGGGATGCAGCAGGGGCCCGGGACAATTGCGGGGGGATGGAGGCAAGGCCAGGAAAGCAGCAGGGTCTGGGCCTGGCGGGGATGGATACAGGGCTGTGGGAGGTAGCTGGGGCCAAGGGTGATGGGGGTGGGTGATGAACCCCACTGTTCCCATGGCCAGAGCTAGGGCCTGGTGTCTGCTGCCAGGTGTCCAGGGCTGAGGCTCAGTGCCCACGGCCAGAACCCAGAGCTTGGAACAGGAACTGCATGGCTGGAGCCAAGGATCGCAGCCTGCTGCCATGCAGCTGGAGCTGTGGGTCAGTGCCCAGGGCTAGTGCCTGCCGCTGCACGGCCAGAGCCCGGGACTGGAGCCGGGAGCCAGCGGCTGCCACCATGCAGCTGGAACCAGGGGCAGGAGGCTGAAGCCCTGCAGCTGGAGGCCAGGGCCACATGGCCAGAGTTGTGGGGGTGGGGTGGGAGGGTCAGTACCTGCTGCCCCGCGCTCAGAGCCCAGGGCTGCACGGCCTGGTTCCTGAAGTCCCACCACTGGAGCCTGCTACTCAAACCTCCTCTACTCAAGGTGGGTCAAGAACTCACCTTGCTCCTGCAGTGTTGTGCCTCGTCTCTCTCCAGAGGCGGTGCAGGGCGGCGCATTCAGGAGCAACAAGGAGGGAAGGGGAGGGGCCGATGCTTTGCCCCCTGCCATCACTGCCCAGGAGGCTGTTGTAGCTGCACGAAAAGCCCCTGGTGGCCGCATTTGAGAAATGTTGTCCTAGAGACTACAATTTTCCATCTTAATTTAGCATTGGACTGAAAGATCTGCTCGGCTGGGACCTCATCTTACTCCATGTTTTGTGAAGTGCTGTGGGGTACTGTGCTAAGGGTCAACCTGTGCTCTCCCTGCCACCCTACCAGCAATCAATCCCGGGAGCACAGCGGGTGCTGCAGGCTATCTTGTCCAAAACGTCTAGGCTGCTTCTGCAGTCTGTGCAGTGTGACTCATACCAGGAGTGGGGTATGAAAGGTCACCTCAAATGCCAGCTCTAATGGTGCAAATGTCTTCTCAGGTGCTTAAAAAAATAAGCTTTATTGGTGGCGTGTGTTTGCATCTAAATGTGTGTAATATATCTGCATATGTACTGATGAAACATTATGAGCCATTGATTTTTTTTCAGTGATTCCATTGACTTCAACTGGTGTCAATCTGTGTGTCTGAAAGATACTGTAACATGTCACTCAGCTGTGTTTTCTTTGTTTCCCACGTTTTGTAATAGAAGCACATGGCTTGCTGTAGCGTCCCCCACTTCTCCTGGTTCCTGGTCGTCTCTCGGCTCGTGGAGAATAAATGTAGTGTCCCATCAGCGGGGACTTTGCTCTTTTCCACTGTGGATCCAAGCATCAAAGTGACCTTCCCTCCTGGAGTCACAGAGGAGACTCGGAGCATCACATTGCAGGTGTGTGTGTGTACGCTAAAACTAAAACGCAAGCTCTGGTAGGACTGCTGGCGTGTGCTGGAGATGAGAGCAGGCAATAGGATAGATGCACTAAATGAGAAAGAAGGATGGGCCAAGCACCAGCCAGGGAACTGGGTCTGACTTGGGCTTCTTGTGGCTTTTAGGTACGTCACAGAGCCTCCCTGCCTCGGTTTCCCCTGCTGTGAAATGGGCTGGGTCATTAGCTGTCTGGCAGGGGTTAGCACTCACATATGCCGTAGGTCAAGCATTGTAACTTGTTAAGGTTCTCCTAGCAAAATTTTTGGTGGCCTCAGAATGCAGCCACCTACTGTTGCTGGGGCTGCTATGTCCATTTTTCTGAAAAACGTAGTTAAGTTGAGGAAGAACAAATAAATCTGCACCCATACAATGTATGTCCCAATCATTGTAATTGCAGGGTGGTTTTTTTGCAGACTCAATAATAACAACAACGTACAGTGGTCTCTAGTCTTTACTGGACCTAAACAGAATAGAAACACAAAGAAGGTGCTTTGCATGTTCTTGGTTTTTTGTTGCTCTCGTTTCTTTTGCTTTTTTTGTTTTTTGTTTAAGAATTGCTAGCTAGTAAGTCTGCTTCTGTGAAAAGTGATATTTGTATGATTGTTACTGTCACTTTTCACAGCCGCAGACTTGTTAGCTAGCTGGGAGAAGTAAAAAGTGATAGTAACAAGCATACAAATATCGCTTTTCACAGCAGACTTACTCGGTCCTGGCAAGCTGGGGGACAAATTAAGCCTTGGATGGGGAGGTGGGTAGGGAGGCAGCTGTGGCCAGGGGTGATGAGGTGGATGAGTCAGGAGCCAGGGGGGCCAGGGGTGATGAGGGGGTTCGTGAGCCCAAAGCCCAGCGGCCGGAGCCTGCCGCCTGCCCCCCCAGGGCTGAAGCCAGAAGACTGAGCCCCACCGCCCATGGGAGAAGGGGGAACTTATACTGACTGTCTGCTCCTCTGGTGTTTGTGGCTCCAGAGGGGGGAAGAGCCTGTCCCCTCCTTGCAGACCCAGGAAGGGGCTGCTGCTTTGCTCCCTGCCCTCCAAATCACCGCCCAGAAGGCTGTGGCTGCAAGAAAAGCCTCTGATGGTCACATGCTGGCATGACAGCTACATCTGAGAAACGCTAGCACATCTTGCTGAGGTAGGGCCTGGTTTAACATCTAGTGGAGTCAATAGATGTTTGGTTGGGCCCCGAGGACCTCACTTCTCAGAGTGCTGAATGCCTGCAGCTGCCACTGACCTCAGCTGGTGTGCTGGGTGCTGAGGAGTTTTGCAAATCATTGCCATAATGCATGAGTGCAATGTTCATCTTTTGGGTCTCCCGCCACATTCCCCAAGGCTTTGACCTTTCCAGGCTATGGGGCTGGGGACAAATGTATCTGGGACTTGTGGGACAGGGGAGTTGGCAAGACTAATCATAGAATATTAGGGTTGGAAGAGACCTCAGGAGGTCATCTAGTCCAATCCCCTGCTCAAAGAAGGACCAACACCAACTAAATCCTGTACCCTGTTTAAAAACAAACAAACCTGTCTCTTTCCCCTCTCCCATACAACCTTCCTTGATACAGTCCTGGCCCCTCTGTCCTTCTCTGGGGAAGGCTGAATGGGGTTCTGCTCAGAGCTTTGCTACCAAGGCGCTTGATAAGCCAGGAGGCAGCACTGTCAAAGGACATGCAGCTTTAGCCTCTTGTTTAGTATCCAAGAACGAAAAGCATGACAGACCAGCTCAGCAAGTGAGATTCAGAGCGTTAAACTTTACCCTTATTCTAACTCTGGAGCAGCCCCATTAAAGTTAGTAAAAACCATGAGGAGTCTTTGTGACACCTTAGAGACTAACAAATTTATTTGAGCATAAGTTTTTGTTGGCTAAAACCCACTTCATCAGATGCATGGAGTCAAAGTTAGTAGGGGTGGTCGTGGTAGCTGTTTAATTAAATATGTGACAGTACCACCGAGAAGACTCAATCTGGCTCAGGGCCCTGTTTGCCAAGTTTACACCAGTATAACTCTGAGCAGAATGTGGTTCAGGGATTAGGATTCACACTCCCACTTGGCAGCCAGCTTGTGCCACTGAGTCAGGCCTGGCATTTGAGCGGTTGGGGCCTGTAACCATGCCTTCTTGGGTCACAAGTGAGAGCACCAAATTCAGGACAAACTGCTGAGAAATAGAGCAGATACACCCCAAGACTGGTGGCTAATCCCACATAGGATATACCAAACCAGCAACAAAAGTAAACTTCTGTTTCACGACACTGGCTGACAAGAAGTCATAAAAGCAGTTTCCTCAGGCATTACAGTCCTTGTATTACCACCGAAAACATTAGACTTAGAGATGAGTGGTTCTTTAAAACCAATCTCTTCAAATAAAACATTCTTCTGATCCCAAAGGACCAGCCACACACTCAGGTCAAAATATAACTTAGATCTTACCAAAAAATCACACTGGTGCCAATCCTTTAGTATCTAAAATCTAAAGGTTTATTCATAAACAGAAAGAAAGGTGAGAGTTAAAATTGGTTGGAGGAATCAAATACATATGATAAATGAACCTCCTTGGTTCAGGCTTGCAGCAGTGATGGAATAAACTGCTGGCTTGGTAAGTCATTGGAAATCATTCCAAATCATTGGAAAGTCTTCCATCCATTAGTTAAAATGCTCCCATTAGTATCGTCCATAGTCCAGAGGTTTGGGCAGAAAAGAGGCAAAATGGAGGAGTTACCAGGGGCTTTTATCTCTTCTGCCATGTGGTGGGAATCCCATTGTTCTTACTGTTGAAAAGTACAGTAACAAGATGGTGGTTGTAGTCACATGGACAAGTCACATGTCCATGCATTTCACCTAGTCATTGCAGGAGGCCATTACCTATATTTCAGATGGAACGTCCACAGGACAGTTCATTCAGTGCAGATGAGCGTCTCCCATGGTCCACTGTCAGTTAAGTGTTTCTTGATGAGCCACTTAATTTGAATAGTCCCTTCAAGATGTGCAGACTAAATACCTTGTGGTCATTACCCCAGGAGCAAACATTTGAAATCCAGGTATAGAGCCAATATTCATAACTTCAAATACAAAAATGATACATGCATACAGATAGCATAATCATAACCAGCAAATCATAATCTTTTCATAGACACCTCACTTGACAACCTTTGTACAAGATTTGTTGCAAATATATAACAGTGATTGCAACAGCGATCTATATGGTCATATTTTAATCAGATAACGTCACAGTGCCGTTGCCCTCTTTCTGCCTCAATGAACTCAGGTATTCAGACATTAAGCTGATTTGATTATTGTTCAACCACCAGGTGTTGCCAGTGTCGGCAGAGGAGTTGGCAGAGATCACGGACGATCCAGAGTCCATAGCCAGTCCCCTGCTCTGCCTCTCCCAGAATTCCACTGTGGATTTCCTCAGGCCAGTTAAAATTCAGCTCCCGCTACCTCCAGGGGTCACAGGTTAGTATATGCCCAGAAATGCCAATGGAAAGCTTCTGTGCTTAAAATCCTCCTACTTGGTAGATTATCTTTCAGTTTCCCCCAGGCAATTGATGTAATAAACCAAACTGTGAACAAATGGCACCTTTCAGCATTTGTGGTTAGGAACATCAGGGTCCAATGCACAAAGTTTAGTACATAAGTAGTAGAAGAACTATAATAGGCTGCTAATATTTCCCACTGCTTTCTGGAGAGTGCTGGTGGGACAGGTCCTCTTTATTCATAAAGGAATACTGACACCAGTGCCATCCCATGGAAACAAGATATTTCTCCCTTATTCCAGAGTAACCGATCAAAAGAGGTTGGGGAGGTGGGAAAACACTTATACTTTGCCATCCACAGAAAACACACTCTTTTTGATTTAATGCCTTCTGGCTCCATAAATGCTTCCCAAACGTTCCATCCTGTTTAAATGCACAAAAGTAAATGAAAGCAACGGTAAGGTTGTAAATTTGGTGCCTGATTCTGATCTCAGTGTGAATCATGAGTGACTCCATTGGAGTTGCAAGTCGAGTCAGGCTTTCCAACCCTAGCAATTCAGGAAATGTGAAGATGTAGGTTCCAGCAGTGTGCAGAATACTGATTGATTATATTGTGAACCAACATCAGGGACTGACAAGCTGCTGTTTAGCTGTAACATTCGCCTAATAAAGGTAAAGCAAAATTGGACTGGGTACATCCTGGTGATGCTTGGGAAGTGGTCTTTTAATACAGGATCTAGAGGAATAAGGGTGATCTCTGGTACATTTAACAATGTATTCATCAAAAATATTATGGCTGTTTTGGATTCCCAGTTCCCATTGATTTTAAGCAGTGCTTTAATCTGTTTTGGAAATCTCAGCCCATCATGGCAGCCAGGCTTACAATGTCTATGCGCCAGTCTTCAATTGATGGTCATTTTTTTGGATTTCCATTTTTGTAGTATCAGCCTTTGAGCAATTATTAGTGCTCTGCTTAAGCCACAGGTTTTCAGGTGCTTCCAGTTAACGTCCATTTGGTTTAAAAGTACATGTTTAGCTGGGAACCCAATTTTGTTTCACTGGAAAAAATTAACTCTGCAATTAAGTTCTGCCCAAAACATACACATTCCCAGAGCACAGGGGTTAAATTAGCACCTGTTGAATCAAAGCGCCAGCATTTGTCTGACTTAGTGGCTCCTGTTTTGAACAGTGGGAGTGTGATCCAAAGCCGCCTCCTGTATGATTTTGTGCTGGATTAATCTTAAATGGAGGTTCAAGGAACAGTTTGAAGCACTGGCTAAAATTTGTTTCCATTGATGAGCAGAGAGTAATTGGCCTAGTTCCTCCTCCAATCTATATTTAATTCAGATTTGCTGGCCAAGTGTGCATATCGTGTTGTGCCGTAGGTCTTGGCAATCGGAGTAATATTTGGAGATATGAGAGCAGTTCAGGAGAGTCAGAGGCATTGCAGGTATCGAAGGCCAAGCAGATGGGAGATGGCTTGTTTAAGTTGGATATATTGCCACTCCTTCTTAGACTCTAGATTGAACCTTTCTTTTAATATTGATAGTCAAAATCCCTTTCCTAATCCAGACTCTCCAAATGATGGGATTGCCTGCTAGAGTTTCAGGTTAGATAGATCCTGGTATGTAGAAGGGGATTGTTTTTAAATTCAGTAGACTTGCTACGCTGAGGATTTTTGCCTCCACAATAGCTGGTTATTGTTTTGTAGCGAATCGGTAGTAATGTGAGTGCAGCACCGTGGGAAAGAGGAAAAGGAGCAACCAATTCTGCTTCCAGCTGGGGCCAGTCTGGGGCTCGACAGCATGAGGGAAGGAGCCACTGTGCTGCATGGCTAAGAATGTTTTGCCTGGTGGTAAAGTTTAAAGTTGGGAAACCTCAAACTGCATGTTTTGACAGGGAGCTGTACTCTTTGCAAGGCTGCTTTAGTTTGTTACCAGCACCGCACAGGAAGGACCTGACCCTGTTGATTTTGGTAAAATAAAAGGGAGGACTATGGAAAAGGAGGGAATTCAGAATAAAAAGGCTCCTGAGAAGGGCATTCCTTTTAATTGTTTATTTTTCCCCCAAGGGGGAGGAGTAGTGCCTGCCATCTATTTAAATTGCTTATTATTTGCATGGTTAATGGGGTGAGGTTATCCTTGACTATGTTTTTAATTTCCTTAGGGAATAGGACGCCAAGATAGCTGAGGTTTGTCTGTTAACATCTACATGTCCCTATAGGAGAAGCCACTTACAACTAGATCTCATGGGATTGTCACTGCTTCGAACTTGTCCCAGTTTGTCCTGTAGCCATAGAATTTGCCAACGTTTATCATTTGTAGGGTGTTTGGAATGGATCTGGAATTTTTAATATCTAGGAGAATGTCATTGGCATATAGAAAGGTTGGGGTTTTTTTTGTTTTGTTTTTTGTCTCCTGTGTCCCTGATTTTATCCCTTGAATCCTTTTGTGTTGCTAGTCTTAGAGGGACAGCATCTCCTTGCTCAGCCATCTTGGCTGCCAGAGGGTTGTCCGACAGCTTCTGCTTTTGGGGATTTTATAGAAAATCTGGAGATGGAGCAGCATCCATGTCAAGGTTCCTCCCCCACTCTGAACTCTAGGGTACAGATGTGGGGACCTGCATGAAAAAACCCCCTAAGCTTATCTTTACCAGCTTAGGTCAAAACTTCCCCAAGGTACAAAATATTACACCCGTTATCCTTGGAATGGCCGCTACCACCACCAAACTAATACTGGTTACTGGGGAAGAGCTGTTTGGACGCGTCTTTCCCCCCAAAATACTTCCCCAAAACCTTGCACCCCACTTCCTGGACAAGGTTTGGTAAAAAGCCTCACCAATTTGCCTAGGTGACTACAGACCCAGACCCTTGGATCTTAAGAACAATGAACAATCCTCCCAACACTTGCACCCCCCCCTCTCCTGGGAAATGTTGGATAAAAAGCCTCACCAATTTGCATAGGTGACCACAGACCCAAACCCTTGGATCTGAGAACAATGAAAAAGCATTCAGTTTTTTAAAAGAAGACTTTTAATAAAAAATAGCAGTAAATAGAAATAAAGAAATCCCCCCTGTAAAATCAGGATGGTAGATATCTTACAGGGTAATTAGATTCAAAACATAGAGAACCCCTCTAGGCAAAACCTTAAGTTACAAAAAAAGTACACAGACAGAAATAGTTATTCTATTCAGCACAATTCTTTTCTCAGCCATTTAAAGAAATCATAATCTAACACATATCTAGCTAGATTACTTACTAAAAGTTCTAAGACTCCATTCCTGTTCTGTCCCTGGCAAGAGCAGCACACAGACAGACACAGACCCTTTGTCCCTCTCCCTCCTCCCAGCTTTTGAAAGTATCTTGTCTCCTCATTGGTCATTTTGGTCAGGTGCCAGCGAGGTTACCTTTAGCTTCTTAACCCTTTACAGGTGAGAGGAGCTTTCCCCTGGCCAGGAGGGATTTCAAAGGGGTTTACCCTTCCCTTTATATTTATGACACGCCCCCCAAATCTCAGCTAGGGTGAAACACTGGCTGGGATTTCTTCCTGGAGCTCTAGGAAAACAGAGTTAATAAGACACATGCATCTCTAAATATACTACCAAGTACATAAAGACTAACAATATTTTCCACATCTCAAGGACGATTTTAACCAGTTGATTCTGGGAAACTTTCACGGGAGAGTGCATCAGCCACTTTGTTAGAAGCTCCTGAGATGTGTTGGATGTCGAAATCAAAATCTTGGAGAGCTAAACTCCACCGAAAAAGTTTTTTGTTAGTTTCTTTGACGGTGTGAAGCCACTTTAGTGCAGCATGGTCGGTTTGCAGGTGGAAACGCCGTCCCCAAACATATGGGCGTAGCTTTTCCAGAGCGTAGACAATGGCATAACATTCTTTTTCAGTGACTGACCAGTTGCTTTCCCTCTCAGACAGTTTTTTGCTGAGAAACACTACAGGGTGGAATTCTTGATCAGGTCCTTTCTGCATTAAAACTGCTCCCACACCATGCTCGGACGCATCTGTGGTTACTAGGAACGGTTTGTCAAAGTCTGGGGCCCTTAGTACAGGGTCAGACATGAGTGTCGCTTTAAGCTTGTTAAAGGCCTTCTGACACTTTCCGGTCCACTGAACAGCATTTGGCTGTTTCTTTTTGGTTAGGTCTGTCAGTGGGGCAGCGATTTGGCTATAGTGCGGTACAAATCGTCTGTAATAACCAGCCAAGCCTAAGAAGGATTGAACCTGTTTCTTTGACTTTGGGACAGGCCACTTTTGGATAGCATCCACTTTGGCCTGTAGGGGGCTGATAGTTCCTTGACCCACCTGGTGTCCAAGGTAAGTCACTCTGTTTAGGCCTATTTGACACTTCTTAGCCTTAACAGTTAGTCCTGCCTCCCTTATGCGCTCAAGGACTTTTTGTAGATGTTCCCGGTGGTCTGCCCAGGAATCCGAAAATATGGCCACATCGTCAAGGTAGGCGACTGCATATTCTCCTAATCCTGCTAGGAGACCATCTACAAGTCTTTGGAAAGTGGCGGGTGCATTTCGCAGCCCGAAAGGGAGTACATTAAATTCATACAGCCCGAGATGTGTGATGAAGGCTGACCTTTCCTTGGCAGATTCGTCTAGCGGTACCTGCCAGTACCCCTTGGTTAAGTCCAAGGTAGAGATGAACTGGGCCCGTCCCAGTTTCTCTAATAGTTCATCTGTGCGTGGCATGGGATAGTTGTCTGGGCGAGTTACAGCATTTATCTTACGGTAGTCCACGCAAAAACGTATTTCCCCATCTGGTTTGGGAACTAGAACCACTGGAGATGCCCATGCACTTTCAGAGGGGCGGATTACCCCCATCTGTAACATATCCTGGATCTCCCGTTCTATAGCAGTTTTAGCTTGAGGAGACACCCGGTAAGGTTGGACCCTAATTGGGTGAGCATTACCTGTGTCAATGGAGTGGTATGCCCGTTCAGTCAGTCCTGGGGTG